CGTTGCGTGATTAAGACAACTGAGCTACATGGACGGAAACGACCACCGTGAACATTTATTTAATCTGATATAAGGAGCTACGTTATATCCCATTTCGTAACTTACCATGATGGACGCCGTCCCAGTAGCTCAGTGGTCCCACACACTGACCGGCAACTTTCGAGTACCGCGTTTTAACACTACCATGGTGCGACGGAATACGCAATGCTGATTATTCATAAAGGTATGAAATAATCCTACATATTTTTCTGGGCGTCGGATGGCTTCAAGTGTGGGTATGTATGCCGCAAAAGTTTAGCTATAGTATAGCTTATTTTTTAAAAGCTGAAAACAACCTAGGTGTCTTACAACAGTTGACGTTATAGCAATAATATCAATAAAAAAACGCCACATGTATGTACCGTAAGGTATTTAGGTATTGCCCCCTAAATAGTATATTTTTAAGAGTAACACGTAGCCGCAGTCTTAAAACAGTGAAGTAAAAGAATCCAATTTTCTAAATTACTCTAGCCTGACCAAGGCGCTACGCAGTGCATTCGTCTCTTGTAATTCCGTCAACTGCGGGTATCGAAATGAGCTGACATTCAGTCGCATGCAAACGTAAGTAATGCGTGTATAACGCCAGCACGGAAATCGATAATGTAGACATATATCTTGTGCAAATTCTTCTCTTGACTAGTTTGTTTAAAGATCCAGCATCCATATGTATATTGTGAGCTATCTTGCCAACCATTACACAATAGTCATGATAAATTGCCTGGCGCCAGTAAAAAGAAAACAGATAAAATGCACAGTTTCAATGTCACGCGATGCAAGAGAATGAACGCGTGAACACGTTTACACAGGCCCAAATGAGATGATTTCAGTATGAGTGACTCTTTGTCTTGAGAATGTCACTGATCAGATACATAACATGACATAAACGGGACGCGGTTTTCTTACAGAATGCTTTGTTGTAATCGCAGGTTGTTCCCCAAGTGCGCAAATGTGAACATCCAAGCATTACGAAAAATAGATCTAGCACATGTTAATTATTTGTCTTAAACTCAATTGGATTTCGTTAATTTGGTATGACATGGCGCAGAACTACTTGCCTGCACGGATATCCTCAGTCACCGGTCTTTCAAGTTTCTCTCGCTTGTCATATTGTATAGTAACATATATCTATTAACTACGTTGTGCACATATATATTCATTTTTCGGCAACGCGGGCTTCACGGGAAAAGGGATTCAAATCGCTGAGTAAGGACCAACTGTGCTAAATGTAAGGAACCTAAGCATGCGACAAATAGAATAGATTTTAGAGGACAATAGGCTGCATAACGGACAGCTTGTAGGAATTTTGGTGGAAGCGCATAAGATCATGGAAACAAAACGAAACATAAGCTTATCCGTTGTAATATTGTGTTCCGTGTATATGTGGCACCATAATTTAGGAATATATATATATGAATACATACATGTGACTATTTAAAGTGCATCAAAAGAAAATCTAATGAGATGCAAGTTGGGATTTTAGAACAGCCATGATCTAGTAGTTGAAAGCGTTGTAGCACGTAAAAGTTACGTGCGTGTCAGCATCTAAAAAGTTGAATCCCTGCATCGAACAGGGTGAATTAAATGTCTTACACACCACTGGATAGAAGACTATTGTAGGCCGACTATTAGCTTGCAAGTGTAGTTGGAAGCCTATTTACAGAACTCTGAATGGGTAAATTCTAATGTAAAACCCATGGGAAATACCGTGGATACGTAAATAATGCGCCGTGTCGTGCCGATTGTTTCAGTCGTCAAAAATGAGCTGATCTCTTGTGGTGACGGATTAAAGCTTCAAAAATTCTAAGTATACCCATGCAAATAATATTGCTACTGACTTGCTGGCTTAAAACACAAAGCGCCATGATTGAGTGATCCGCACGAGAAAATGGGCTGAGGCTTCATCGCTTATAATATATTCAAATAACAGCCCAAAAAAGAACAAAACATTTTATACCCAGTTCTGATGGCCTATTTCTATCTTGCCACACAGGCACATAGTCGATTGGAGCATGGAAGTGCGGGTGAAACCCTTTGGGGGAATACCCCGCATAGAAGCAAGTCCCCTGGGGACAGTTCCACGGATGACCGTATTACTTTACTTGAACATTCCGCAAAATCTACATTTATTATTGTTCCCAGTTTCATTATCTCTCTAGTTTTCCAAACTGCTGATCAATTCAAGACCCCGTATGTGAACCATTGATCAAAGGACGACGAATTAACTATGTTATGCGATCACGTTGTACATGTTGATAAGACCACCCAATTGGTCTGTGCCTCGCACTTCTGAGGAATAACACGTTTATTTATTTATTTAATAATATACAAGCGTTATAAGTTCAAGAGTTCAGCGAATGTAGGAAAATAAAAGGACACGCGCAAAAAAGGTTATCACGGTTAAATGAAGTAGATAAAGGGGATTGTGCAGGTACACAGAAGGATGTTTAGGTATACAGTAATGCATGCTAGAAAGCATTAGAATAACATAACAAACTATACCTGAAATCAAGAGGCAGAATTTAGGCAGTGGTTAGTATATTGAATGAAGTCTATCTACAACAGTGCGTCTGTCTTGACTACATCCACAGCAGGACCCGCTGTCATTTTTTCTGCTGACCTATTTGGAGTCGCTAATGGCTCACTAGGCCTGCATAACACAGGCATCCGCGAACGCATGTACTACAGTACCATGCACTTGGTGTTGATGTCTACAACCAGATGGCGGCTGTCGCTTCTGCAATTGCCGCGTCTTCACTACATGCACAAGGGCTTTCTCTTGAACCACGGCAACGGACTTCATGATCAGATCGCATCACGTAAGCCGGATAAAGTTCTTTCGTTTTGCAGGATCTGAAACCAAGTGTGAAACTTGTGTAGCACACTAAGGTCATGTTCGGATAAAGGAAATTCGGTTTTTCAACATGCTACTTCGAAACAGTCAGCAGGTAATATAATAGCCTCCATATGCGCTTCCAACTCATGCCGCTTGTGGGTGTTTATTGTTGGTTTGGCAAAAGTTGAATAGATGGTAATAAGGCAGTCAAAGTTTGTTTGCCACATTTGCATTACGTTTGCAATCTCCGGGAAGGTTACACCCAATATATTCTTCAGCTTTTCCTATGCTTTATCCTTGACAACACCACACCGGCCCGTTCTTTGTCAGCCTATTATTAGCCTTGACAAGACCGTCCATTTTTGATTGGAATTCGCCTGCCATGCACACCTTCAGCGAAATACGTTGCTTACACGCATAGAGTGGAAACATTTAATTGATCAACACAGCTAGTTTGTGTAACACTACAAGGCTAGTCGTAGTACTTGACTGATATAATTTGAAAGCCATAAGCCCCTACAATAGCTCAAACAAGGCACAACGTAAACTTCTTTTCAAAATGCTTGCATTATCAATGTACGTAAAATAACTACGGTACCGTCAACGAAACCGAAGCTTTAATGTTATCAAGGGACATCACAAGATGCACGTTACCAACCGTTTCAGCATCAGACTGAAAAGTTATAACTGCTTCTCAGTATTTATAGGTAATCTTTAGATAGCATCATATAACGGGTTGGTGTTTCAAGGGTACTTATTACAGCATCTGTTAAGTTGTGGCTCCAAGTGACCGCAGCTTTACAAAAGTACAACAAGTGCCAATGTAGCGGACGGTTACACGGTGCTAGAACATAGCAAACCATTATTTAACAGAAACATTTGCGGATTAAACGGAATGTCTCTACATGACGGGAACCAGATTGTCAGTGGAGCAGCATTAGGATACAATAACTACCATAAAATTTGGCTCCTGGCAATAGGCTTAATACTTTACCTAGCAAACCGCTTCCACAGTTTCCTTGCAGTACGGACCATGTGAGCAAATTGCTTTGCTAAATTATGTGTGTATAGAAGGAGAATGCGAGGCTTTATTAAATTTTGGAACAAATAGCTACATTTAAGGATTATCTGCCTGTTTCAAACTTTGTGGTAATCTTCTTGAAATGCTTAGAGCGGGTAGGCATCATGGTAGTTTCTGCAGTTGGTTCGCAGACATATAAACGACCTAGAGATTAAACGGAAAATGATTGCAAAATATTTACCATTTCGATTTATTCCTTTGTTAGTTACAGTATATTAGAGCCCCGTTGGAGTGGAAGTTTGTGTTTACCGTTATTATGGTATGTAAATAATAAAGGCATACATTATTCATACGCGAAATTGATCTTTATTATCTAAGTGATTTTAACCACAAGTCATACTTTTTGGCATATTATGACTTGTTCCCATTTTGTGAACTTCATTTAAGCAAACTTTCTTGTCTACCCGCGCCTTTCGCTGGAACACCGCTGAATCAGTAATGCATTGCACTGTGTAGCTGTGAGACAACCCACCTGTAATTACTAACGCAAACGGATACTAAATGAAATCCTTCCAATGCAATTACACGGCATTTGATTTTACTTGCTAGCCTGCAATAAATAATAGTTGCCGATTGCAAGAAAAATACGCGGCAACGGTTTAATCGCAGGGTCAGACATTGCTGTTAAAATTACCATTGCAAAGTAAAAACCTAAAACCTTTTGCTAAGCAAACGACGCTAACTTCGGTTTAAAGGCAAGAATTAATCAACACTGTGCGTAAATTCTATTACAGTCTGTTTCCCTAACAGTCATTCTAAAATTTCAAAGCATAAATGCGTGTTACGGGATTCAAACTAGTTACGTTCATTTTCATAGATCAGTTTTGTACCAACGATAATCGAAAACTATAAACACTCTACCGGATTTGCCATTGTGCTGAACTAGCTAACATTTGGTCGCGCATCAAATAGAAATCATCAACGCACCACAGGAGGACATATGTGAATAGCTGCTGCACTCATTCGACCTAATTGACTTCGGTGATAGAAAAAACACTTGAAATCGTTGATGTGTGTGAATAAAATTGATGAAGTAGAATAGAACATATGGCTTGTGTGAGAAAACATATTAAAGGTAATGAGTATAAATTGCAGAGCGATGGATACACATCATCGACGATGTTCTCAACCAGCGCTCTTTGTATCGCTCTGTTCATTTTGTGGAACTGTGACTTGACAAACTCTGTCTGTGAGTCAACCCAAACGTACACACTTTGACTAATTTCATATTTTAATCGTAAGGATAACATGGTTTCTACATTTTAGTGTATAATGAACCTCTGAGGGTTGAACATTTGCTGCAAGCACCAGAGCAAACCGGGGACCCAGGAACGCGTGCACGTCAACCTCTGGATAAGAGACAACCAAAGCAGGTGAGTAATTTTTCTAAGACCTGATTAGGAAATGGCATATTACACCATTCATGGCTTGTAAATGCTGTATTATAAATGTAGCGCCAAAATGCAATTCGCCTGTTTGATTCCGTTGAGAATACTAGCACACGGCGTTACTGACTGCACAAATTTACTCTGATGCAAGCTAGATTTTCTTTATCACAATTTTCTTTATCACGCAGGCCCAATCATCATGCCAAAAAATTTTCCAAATAAATTCAGTTGACGCAGTCATTATTTATTTTCATCTCGCAGGCACCGTTGACCAGGATGAACAATGGGTGGTAGTTGCCAACAGAATTTCCTACGGCGTAATCCAAGTGGTGCATATATTGCCGCATGTTGGCCCAGCAGGAGTCTCTTACTGTTTTTGTCATTGTATCACGTGAGTACGTCTGAATAAACAAGTCCCACGAACGGTTTTTTTAAAATTACACGTAATCGGGTGCCAGGCGAAACACTTCATTGAAATCTGTACTTATCCCTGCATATCACACATGGTTAGGTGCAGTGTATCTGTGTGTCATTTATTAGGTATCCTGTAAAATTCATAATATAGCCCAATTAGACGAAAAATATACAACCAGTAAAGAGCTGTTTGGCCATTTACTCCTTAGGCAATTGCCAACATTGCGTTTTCCATCGGACTCTAGTAGGTCTAATCACCGCCAGTGGACTGATGCTTTCGTGGTTAATGTCACCATGCTACGGGGACTGTAACGATGAGATATTTTCCCACCTGTGTATTTTAAGGATTTTTATAATGCCATCGTTAATTATTCCTTAAATTAATACCGCTTAACATTTCGTAGTACATTGGCGGCGTATGGTTGTATATTTGTCCGTAAATTGATTTCCACTGTGTCTTTTGCTAGACCGCCGTTTCAGTGCATAGTGAATTGCGCTATACAGATTTTATAACTGTTATATCACAACATTTCCATTCACTTAGCGCAGCGGGTATAACTAAGAGAATTTTAAAAGAAGTGCACAATGATTAAAACTGAATTAAGGAATAGCACGTAATATGCTGGCTAGTAGGGCAGTTAAACATCAATGCAAATAGCAAGCACATACTAACAGTCTTCTCTTATTCCTTATCTTCATGGTAACTTACTCAATTATCCTATTGCTAGCTTGCCGAAAATCGGATTCGAGTTAATCGCTACTTGGGAGTAATATATATACTATATATCTCTCTAGGTTTCAAATGCTATACATATAGTGTTAAGCGAGCACACTACATCACAACGCTGGCTAGCCACACTTAGTGACTGTGGAAGATTGGTGGTACTATATCCGTTATATTTCAAAATATATAGACCATCCATCCTCCCTCATTGCGCAGTGGACTATAATCCTGGCAAATTGGCATCCACCTTTAGCTTTCGTGGTTTAGAAAGACACTAGGGGACCAAGAGTAGTCGCAAACATGAGTAGCAACAATATACTGAAGCGCCTAAGTGCTTATTAGGAATAGGTTGTGCTATGTAGCTTGTGAAAAACAGGGGTAAATCTTTCCACATATTACAACGAAGTGTTGCCACATAATAGTAATATATTAAACAAATAGCCTCCACTAATTTTAATTGCTATGGATATGGCGGCTTTTGAGAGGATTTCATCATATTGCAGGCCATCCACTCTCAGTGATACTGAAAGATACGCAGTGTTATATTCCAGTTAGTTTGCAGATTAAGCCGAGCAGCTAACACCTACATGCCTTAGTAGCTTAGGCTGCTAGTTAGTGGGTATTTGCATCTAGATATTATGGGTAAATTCCCTCTAAAAGTACCTAAGGTACGCGCACGAAAGACAAGTCACAGTGCGGCGTACCGCGATTGATGCTTTCACGGAATAAACGTTGCTGCATGCGGATAATTACCGGAATGCATACGTCAGAAAACGTGCCACTAAATTCCTTAAAATTCGATTACGTAATGTATATATATATATATAGTAACTAGCCGCACCTAGTTTTGAAAGCAATGGATATATACTTTAGTTAGAAGACAACATCAACTCACAGGCAAGATATTGCCAGTGATAGTGAAACACAGGTGGCGCTTTCTTCCACTCAGTATGCAAATTATGTAGCCCAGTTAACAACGCCTTGACACAAGGGCATAAACAGCTGTCTGGTTCGATTTCGCCTATATCATTACGTGCTCGATCCTCATTTGGTATCATAAAGACTGCACTAATTTGACGAGCCTTTATAGCGCAAACAACATCCGGTATTTCTCTGGACTACACTGCAGTATGTACATTATGACCTAACGGGATTATACCTTGAAAAATCTATAATCTAATCCTCCGAGTTAAAAGCAATACAAAAATAAGTAACCTCTACTAGTTTCAAAGGCTTTGCGTATACTGTCTATAATTAGGACGTCTTCAACTCGTAAGCTACCGTCTGTCAGTAAAATTTTAAAAATAGTTATTGTTATATCCCTTTATTGTTTAAAGTAATTAGAGTAGGTAACCTCCTCCAGGCCTCAATTGCTAGTTGATATTTCTCTATTGTGTTCATGTGTTGGATCAACGTTAGGTAATTGAGGCGAGGCACAACACTGAAGAAAATATATATAATTCGAAACGCGTGCGTTTGTTTTCCAGTCTAGGCTGTGGTATGAATCTGGTGACATAACAGGATAGGTTATATAAAATACAAATACAATCCGTTTACCTAAAAGCAATATATAAAATAATTAGCAAATACTTTGCAAATAAGTAGCCCAGTCAAATTCCCACATGACTGACAGTGGCTTAATCATCCGATATTTTTGCATCTGCATCTATGATTCATGGCTTTAATACCCCAATAGGTGACGGTGATTGTGCGAATAAATGATTAGCCCCAATTGAGCAAACTGCGCCTGGTTATTTTCCTGTACTGTCTGTGCTATGTAGCTTATGAACCGGGATGTATCCCCCACAAAAATTACAACTATATTCCTGTTATATAAAAAATATATAACACATATAACCTCTTCTAGTATCAAATGTTATCTATATAACCTCGAGTGCGTCAGCAAATCGTAGACTAGCCAGTGCCATTGACTGCAGATGTTACGCGATGCTATACACCATTTAGTTTGCAAATTATATAGCCAAGCAAACGTCACCCATGTCACAATGTCTTAAGTTGCTAAGTCTTTGGCATATTCTTCTGTCGTTCTTAGAGTTTATCCAAATTATTTGACCCAAATTAATGCTGAAAACTAACGACGCCTATTATGGCAACACGCGTCCGCTTTTTTCCGGACGAGTTTGTGGTATGTTAGTTGTGAAATTTCGCTAAGTTTAACAATAAAAATTCCCATTTATAATCCCCCTACTGAGGAGTATGGTACAAAATGTGTCCTCACGTAGTTGTAAATGCCATTAGTATAGCGTCTAATAAAATGGCGTCCTCAACTCGTATGCTAAATTCTTTATTGAGTAGTGGAGGTTAGTTGTTGCTATGTCCGAGTAACCTTGCAACTAATATAAAGCAAGCACCATCTTCGTAGTTCAGATCCTTATTTTACTGGTTAGTTGCAATTTGCAATCTCCAATCCCGTTAATGGACCAAAGGAAAGTCCGCAACTAACGAGACACAATAGCGCGAAATGTGTAGGGTGTTTATCCGAACTAGACAGTGGTATGTAGCTTGTGAACTGCCGTGAGGAATTACTGCCAAAAACACAAATAACCTTCAATTGCATTCGAATAATAAATACAACAAATGGCCTCTTTATATTTTCAAAGGCTACGAATATGGTAAACTAGACAATTTCAGTAACAGTCATAATGGCGATGTTAATTTCCAGTTAGGTATCGAATTGTGTAGCCCAGTAACCGTCCCCATGGCTCGGTGGCTTAAGTTGCTGGACAGTTGGCTTCTGCCGCTAGTGCTCAAGGGTTCTAGCCTCATTACTTTACTATATTTATGTGCAGCACAGACGACCATCAAAATCTTATATGCAGCTGGAAATTACCCGGAATGGTCTGTGCTATGTAGCTTGTCAAATACAGGGATAACTATCTTATAAAATTAAGCGAAACATCCAAACAAGTGAAGTTGCAGAACTGACGAGCACAAATAGGGCGAAAAGTGTAAGTTGCGTATCCTGACTAGGCTTTTCAATGTAGCTTATGTATTACAGGGTTGAGTGCCTGACACAAGTTTCCAATAATTTCCTTTTACTTACGATAATATATTAAATGAATAGCTTCCCATAATTTCAAATATTTTGAAAATAGCATGGGGTGAGAGGTCCAATTCAACTCGCAGGTCATGCGGTGAATGTGTAGTGGATGTTTGTTGGTTATGTATCACAGTTATTTTGCAAATGATCTAGCCCCAGCAGCCCCTCCAACGCTCAGTAACTTAGCCGCTCTCTAATTGGCATTTGATTTTGCACAGTAATTAGTTCTATACTATGGCAAAGAGTGAATACGCACCAATTACTAGCCTGAATAGAGCAAAGCGCTTCTGGTACCATTCCGGAGAAGGTTCTGCACAGAGATAGTGAAATACCGGAATGAATAGTTTACAAATACTTAACTAAATTTATGCTAATTCTAGTAATATTTTAAGAATATATTCTGCTTTCAAATGCTACGGATATTGCGTCTAGTGAGACGACGTGGTTATCTCGCAGGCCATTCACTATCAGTGACAGTAGAAGGTAGGTAGTGTTATATCTCAGTTATGTTGCGTTTATCTAGTTTAAGCAGCATTATCATGGTTCAGTGATTGAGGTTGGTGGATAGTTGTCATCCACCTGTTTAATTAATAGGTTTGGTCTGAATACGGGAGGGAGGGAATGCGCACCAAACACGAGGCCCTATGGGCGTAATGCGTCTATGGCTTTTCCGTACTACGCTGTGCTTTTTTTGTTCTGTAACAACAAAATAAATAGTGTAAAAGAATTTTAAGTGAAATCCAGCTACATACGTTAAATAAATTAAAAATAATGTCTTCCCCGTTTTCAAATGCTAGGGATATAGCAGGTAGTTAGACTGACGCAAAAATTTGCACGCCAACCGGTTCTATTAACTGTGGAGATTATTTGGTATTATCACACCGTTAATTTGCAAATAACCTAGCGGAAACCTCCTTATAGCACAGTAACTAAGGATGATGCATAGTTGACATTTAATGCATTTTTACTACCATCTGTTTTATAAGGCTTCTGAAATGGGTATCAATGCCGTGCCCCAATAAATAGAGACGCTTCTGCTTCTCTTCCGGACTAGGCTCCGCAATGCAGATTGTAAACTACCGAGAAGAATAATTTATAAACATTTCAAACAGAAAATTATGCTACTTACGAATAATGATAAACAGAAATAGCTTCTCCTACTTTCAAATGCTACTGAGAGAC